CAAATCGATTGAATTGCAGTGACTGTAAAGTATTGTCTGTTTTGTGTTACGACTGAAGCGCCAGAAGACACACGCGATTCGGTTTCCTTTTCGACTTTCGGCAAAGAATACGTCCGTTTCAGGCGTTTTATGCTTTCGATTGTCCGGTGAATACGAGTCCATTGAATCCAAAGAGTCTATTGAATTGTAGTCCGAATTTCGCGGACATAATTGAAATTTATTTGAAATTATGTCAAATTTAAAGTCATAGGAGGACTCTTCGGGAGGACTGAAAGCTAAGGTCGAGACTAATCGTGGGATTACATCAATCGGCGGACAACACAAGTATTTCAATAAATCGTACAATTCTTCGGCCGTAGAATTCATATTAATTTAAACTTTGGCTTAAATTTATTTGACTTATTTTCAAATTCAAAGCATTCAAAAATATCTAATTGTCTAACAATTATAATAATTAATGAGAATTACGTGCTTTTTAATTGGGTTATAATAACTTTGTAACAACTTTTAGAAAACTATTATTTAATTTTTCAATTGTATAGTAAGTGTAGTTTCCAATGGATGTCTCAATGTTTAGATAATATCCAATTCTTCATATAAAAACTTGCGGATTCTCTTGTAATATTGGGGATGATATTTAACGTGGTTATGGCCGCAGCCAACCGCTAGAAACGGGTCCACTCGACGCGGGCATCGGCTTAACAGTAGTAACGCGTCCTCAATGTTCACCAATGTATCATCGATTCCGTGAAACAAAAGTACTTTGCATTCAATGTTCTCCACTTTCAAGAGGTTCGGGAAGGGATCGAAGGCCAGCAGTCGTGTGACGGGCAGTATTGTCCTCAAACCCGAAACGATAGGTCCGTCCAGAATCACTGCCCTTACCGGTAGTCTCGTCGCCAAATCGATGGTCGGAACGGAACCAATGGACTCACCAAACAGTATGACGTCTTCGGGCTGAATGTCGTACAAATACATGAGCGAAGACATGACCGAATCGATGTCGGCGTACAGATGCTCTTCGTATGGGTGACCACTGCTCAGGCCATAGCCGGTGTAGTCGT